GTTGGTATGCATGAGTGTCTTATCATTTTCACACATAGGAAAAGGGTCTAATTCAACATTTTAGAACTGAGATACTTAAGTTAAAGGAATGACATTCAGAATATAGAGTATGAAGAGATACACAACACTAAACAGCTGCATGTAAAACAAAGCTGACACTCAAGTCCACTCAAAGAGATAAGATTGTTTTGATCCAGATGGGAGCTTCTAGAGTTGGACTGTTACAGGAAAGAAGGTGCCTGGGAAGAGCAGAAGCCTGGCTGCCACTCAAAGGACTGGAGACACTGCAGCTCCCCCACTGCAGCCTGATGGCACGCACCTACCTGCAGCGCTTCTGTAGGCAGAGGCAAACTGTCTGCCTTGCCTTAGCTTAGTGCCCCCCTCACTCCTGCAGGCTGATGCAGATGGGCCTGATTCAGTAGAAACTGCAGCAGGGCGCTGCGGAACGCAGCAACAATGACGATGTAACACCAAAGGATGCTTGGCATTGGCCTTCATCTGGTCACACCAAGAAATCACTATCCAAACTGAGGCTGCTCTACAGGGTTGCATCTGAGTCTACAGTAGCTTTGACCTTGAAGAGGCTCATTAGAACCTGTGAGACTTGCAGAGAACTCCAGGAAAGCCCAATCTTAGGACAGGCTGAAATCCAGAAACTTGGTCTGAAGTCCACTGGACCCTAATGCATTCGAAATCAGCTTACACCTCCTCAGATATCCCTGAAGATAGCTGGTGGAGGAGTGGTTTTTAGTTCAGTATTCCCAAGGCTTATATATTTTGCTAAAACCTCATGCTTTAGACAACCTTACCCTCTTTGCTGTTAAACGCTCTGCTGGAACTCTGTGAGTGCAAGCTCATTTGCAGAAGACATACTAATGGAGAGGGAAAACTAACTGGCCCTTGGTCCTACATTAGCACCATAGCCAACCTCTCCAGGTCTCTGACAAAAGAGCACCACTGAATTATCTTTGATCTATTAATTGCTATGAAATACATAATATCTCTTTCCATGAACCTCTAGTGACTCAACGGACACAGTGCCTTCTAGTATGTGTGGATTTCCATCTCATCTCCTTCTATTATATATTGGGCTCCTTTTCAACAAGACTTGTAATATCAACACTCATGTTTGGGGCATCTCACAATGCTTGGTATAAAAGCAAACTACTAGACATTAATTGAAGGTATTAAGATGACCCTAGAGGCTAGGGACATGGCTCATTGGGGAAAATGTTTGGTGAACATGGGCAGTTGTTCTCAACCTGCAGGTCATGACTCTTTTGGGGTCAAATGACCCTTTTACAAGGGTTTTATATTAAATATATATATAACTCATAACAGTAGCAAAATTACATTTATGAATTAATAATGAAAACAATTTTATTGGGGGGGGTACCACAACATGTAGAACTGTACTGAAGAGTCACAGCATTAGGGAGGTTGAGAAGTACTGCTCTAGGGCAAAGAAACCTTAAAAATGTCACCCCCAAGCTATGTGTGAGACAATGTAAACATATACATACATGCCTATTTATATGTACATAGATGTGAACTAAACTGTCTCCACATTTTGCTACACATTTTAAAATACATTATAAGAAATCAGTGTTGGCTCTTCTTTGAAGGTCTGATAGAATTCTGCACTAAAACTGTCTGGCCCTGGGCTTTTTTGGATGGGAGACTTTTGATGACAGCTTCTATTTCCTTAAGGGGACTATTTAATTTATTTACCTGATCTTGACTCAGCTTTGGTAAATGGAACCTATCTATCAGTGAACTTGGGGAGCAGAATGGTAGAAGGAAGAAGGGTAGGATTGATAGAGATCGGGGGGGGGGAAGCTACAGCTGGATACAAAATAAATAAATTTTAATTAATAAAAAATTAATTTATGAATAAAAGAAAATTGTCCATTTCATTTACATTTTCAAATTTTCTTGCATATAGGCTTTTAAGTAGGACCTAATGATTCCTTGGATTTCTTCAGTGTCTGTTGTTATGTCCCCCTTTTCATTTCTGATTTTATTGATTTGGACAGTGTCCCTCTGCCTTTTAGTTAGTTTGGCTAAGGGTTTGTCTATCTTGTTAATTTTCTCCGATCAAGGACCATGCATGGAGAGGACCTAGACCCCTGTTCAAAGGAAGCGCATTGGTGGCTCAGTTTCCAAGTGGGTTCTCTACTAAAGCGTACAGGGGCTATCTCCAACATGAACTCAGTGGCTGCTCTCTGATCACCTCCACCTGGGGGATGCAGCCTTGCCAGGCCACAGAGGAAGATGATGCAGCCAGCCTTCATGAGACCTGATAGGCTAGGGTCAGAAGGAAGGGGAGGAGGTGTCCCTGCCACCCCCAATCAGGGGACTAGGGAAAGAGCATAGGGGGAAAAGAGAGAAGGTGGGTGGGACTGGGAGGAGACAAGGGAAGGGGCTGCAGTGGGGATACAAAGTGAATAAATTGTAATAAATAAATATAAATAAATTAAAAAAAGAAATCAGTGTTGATGAGAATTTACGCAGTATTATTTAGATGTTACAAACTGTGCTTTCTGGCTTCATTCAGCAGCTGATGGAAACAGATGCTGAGACCCATAGCTAAACAATAGGCCTAGCTCGGAGAGTCTTGTGAAGAGTTGGGGGAGCCAGAGGAATCAAGGACAACACAAAAAGACCTATAGACCCAACCAACCTCGGCCCATGGGTACTTACAGAGATTGAACTGCCAACCAAGGAGCATGCCCAGGCCCCCTACACGCATGAGCAGCTTGTTCTTCATGAGGGTCCCCTAACAATTAGAGCAGGAGCTGTCTCTGACTCCGTTGCCTTGTTTGGATCTCTTTCCCCTAGCTGGGCTGTCTTTGTCTGGCCTTGGTGGGAGAGGATGCACCTAGTTCTGCTGAGACTTAATGTGCCGGGGGGGGGGGGGGGGGGGGGCCCCGGGGGGGGGGGGGGGGTCCTCTTTTCTGAGAATAAGGGAATAGGGGAATGGGGAGTGTGAGGGTGAGACTGGGAGGAGGAAGGAGAGGGGCTGCAATCAGACGGTAAAGAGGGAGGAGAGGGGAGGACAGGAGGGGAGGAAAGCAGAGGAAAGGAGAGGAGAGGAGGGGAGGAGAGGGAGGAGAGGAAAGAGGAGAGGAGAGGAAAGAAAAAATAAAAAGAATAGTGCCTTCTACCACTCACCATGCACCCTCATCAACCTACTGAAATTCGGGGCTGTCATCGGAAAAATAGTAATTTTTTAAAAACACACATTTACAGGTTAGTGTAAAGATTAAATTAGAATTATATAGCAGCGTTTAAAACAGTGCTTGGTAAAGAGTGCTCAACAAATATTAAATGCTATTACTCCTCATGTAATAAATTTGGCAGCAGCTAAATGGCAGATGTTTTAAACGAGTACATATTTGATATTATGTTAAATAACAGATTAGTGTTTTAAATAATAACATATTATAATGTTGAATGACAGAATGCTTTCAAAGGCTGTAGTAAATTCATACAATGGCATACTATTAGACAGTCACTATAATGTTGTTTACAAAGCGTCTTTAATGTTGGAGAAATTCTTTAGTTAAAAGTGAAAAAGCATGATATAAAAATGATTTAAATTATGTAAAATGCATAACTATTTAGAAAAATATCTAGCAGAAAGCACACCAAACAGTAAAAGCAGTTTTGATAGCAAAATTTGACTTACACACTGTTATTTTTGTCTTTGTACTTCTCTAACAGTAATATTTTTCATTTTTCAATAAAGAACCATAATTTTAAAAGATCTGAGTAAGACAAATATATGTAAAATTTATAAAAATGCCCAATGTTTCATATGTGATGTAATACAGAAATGACTGTGGCTTTCCAAAACTCAATTCTTGTCTGCTGAATTTCCAAAAACTGTTACTAAGGCAAGTAAGTATCACAAAATACTGTTATTAAAGCAAGTAAGCATCACAACATCCAACAGTAAACATCCCTTCGTTTGGACCTGTTTAGAGATGTATAATCACATAGACACAATGTACTCCTTGCCTGAAACCACCCACACTCTGACAGGCCAACCTCCTCTTGTCTTTACTGACCCTAGCCATGAGCAACCATGCAAGGCAAGCCCATCAGCACACTCCATGTTCTAGTAGCTTTGACCTTTTCTATCCATCAAACCAAAACATTGTCTCTGTTGCAATTTCTAAAAAGAATGCCTCCAGACCAGCCACGAGAGAGACAAAGCATCCCCCTTCCATCTGAGAGTTTCCTGAACACTTTCCAATTCTTTATTCACAATTGGTTCCCTTTTCTATACAACTCCAGAGCTGTCTGTGAATTCCACCTTTCATGTTATCTTACCTTCAAAGAATCTTCATTTCAGACAGCCAACTTCTGTTCCTAGGAGTTGAACTTGGAACCATGTAGTCATCAGCCTCAGTGAGACCTTGACAATTTTAACAGGACCAGTGGAACAAAATAATCGTAATTCACAGGAGTTTATGAAATACAGCCTCTTCATAAAGCATTCCTTTTAAGCAAATCTCAAAGGAACTTCTTTCTTACCTAGCAGCGGGCACATAGATAGCACTGAGTGAGATATTATGTGTATTAGCCAGTGCCCCCCAAATCTTATTAATATGTATCATTTTTCACCCACCCACCATCCTCACTGGAAACTTAAAGATGTTCATTTGCTTTGCTGTTCTGTGTGGCACTGCTCTCCTGCTACCTGCAGACTAGCCTATCATCTAACCAATTCCAAACTTTACAGACTGATTCAACACAATCTAAATGCACCGTAAGTTTATATTTGTTAATGTTGATATTAGAACATTTAAACATTTCAAACTACAGAAAAATATGACAAACAATATAAAACCAAGAAATCTGTTGACAATTTAGTTCCAAAACATCACTATTTCTTGTATTGCAATTAAGTGACAAGACAGCTTACATAGCTCTCCAGAAAACAGTGTTTTTAGTGGAGTGTTATCAACAAAAATCAGCACAATCCCACACAATAATGTCTCCAATTTATTATCTTTTCCACAGTACAAATTTTTTCACAAACCATAAATTCTTTGCATTTATTCAAAGTCTGTAAACAAGTGCCTGAATCCCCACACCCCCAACCTCAGTTTAAGCATGTGAATGTTTTAAGTCCTTCGATCAAGTTTTAACTCTTCCGCTTGTATAAGGAAGCAAGAGCCTTCTCTCTTTACATTATTTATATTTTATCATACAGCCTGCAGTGCAGTGAATCACAGTGAAAGCCCTGGGGAAAACAAAACAACATGATCTTTACAGCAGGACTTGAAACTTTATAATAATAAATGCATTTGAAGAAGCGTCCCATAATAAAAGTGTGGGTTTTCATTTCCAGAAATCAAGTCAATTAGAAACCCTAGTTTCTACTTAAAAACCCATTTTGATCTAAAAGTTGAAAACAGTCCCCTATCCACAGTCATTTTATAAACTCTATACAGTTTTACTTGCAGAGATTTTTTTTTCCAGTCTGGAAAACAGTAGTGCAATTAGTTTTACTTCTTTTAAGTTATTTAGTCCATGATGGAAACAGCTCTGTGGAAAGATAAGAAGATATTCCGGTAAACAAGAAATTTTTGCAAGCCCATGCTGGCTTACAGTCCATTAAAGCTTGTAAGTCCATAGCGGCTTTCAACAGAATGCTGTGTATACATCACTAACATCAATGCAGAAATAAATAGGCGGAAATAACTGTAAACTGTCTCCTCTTGATGACTTTTCGGTAATGTCTGACTTGATGAAGTGATTGCGTAGTCAGTTAATTAAGCAGACAGTAGACAGCTGGCCCTTAAGGACATTTCCACTATGGCATCAAGTCTGGAAAGCCCCAATGGAGTTACATTCCTAAAATTAAAATAAAAACGGAGTGGAGGGTGGGAGATAAAAGTTTACAGATGCCACTTGAATGGAATTCCATCAAGCCAGCTGAGTCACTTAGACTTCTTCTTGAAAAGGCTTTTGATTTTTGATGGCTTTTTGCTTTTCTCGCCATTATGACAAAGATCATGTGGGATGCTGCTTATTCGAGAAACATTTGAGGCATCCTGAACTGGCTTGCTGTCATTGCCAGCTGAGGAGCATGATGTGTGTCGGGGTTTAGGCACTGGGATGCCAGTAGAAAGCTGGTTCATGCTACAGGACTTCTCCAAGATGCCATTGTACACTTTGCTCGCAGGGCTGAAGATCATGCTCTTGGTTTCTGTCAGACCCACACACTCAGGGGAGCCCCGGGAGACATCCGCTGTCACTGGCGAATCCCCCCTGGAAGAATCCTCCAGGGAAAGCTCATCTCTCGACACCTTTCGAGAAGACAATGTTTGATATATCTCAAGGCTTGAAGGAGGAGACTGTTTCCTTCCAATGGAAGAGTTTAAGGAGTCACATTCTGAAGCTGTGTCTGGTACTTCCCTGAATGAGACAGACATGGGTAAGACTTTTAGATCTACATGTTCTTAGAGTACCAGCAAACACTCTGCCAAATCAACTTTTACTCCCTATTTATTTAATTATAAAACGATGTGTGACAATTATATATAGTTAAGATTTAAAATATTTCCTTTAATATAGCCTATTATTTCTGTGCATGTGTGTATGTATGTTTTTTTGTGAATATCTGCATGTGTGTGTGTGTGTGTGTGTGTGTGTGTGTATTTCTGTGGATATCTGTATATGTACATGAGTAGGCTACAGGTCAACACTGAGCAACCTCCTTGATTGCTATCCCTGTGATTTTTTGAGATGGGGTCTCTAAGCAAATCTGGAACTCATCAATTCAGATAGGCTGACTGACTAAGAAGCTAGAGGTCTGTGTGTCTCCATCCTTTCCCCTGAAAGAGTTAAGACATGTGAGGTGGCACATGGCTTTTAAACAGATTCCAGGGATCAAAATTCAGCTTTCATGCTCATTTAGTAGGCATTGTATTGTCTGAGCCTCTCACTAGCCCCAAACTTTAGTTTTTAAGATAAATTGTAACAAACATTAAGTTATTTATGCCTTCTTTGAAAAAAAGGAAAATGTCTGAATTTTGAGTTTTCGTAAGCCTGACTTTTTTCTTCAAAACTATTTTTCTTTCTGAATCACAGAACTGCCAGTATATTTTTAAAACGATGGAATTTTAAATCACTACTTTTAATGTTTAGTTAATGAGCCTGATGAAATGTAACTCTCTGAAGAAAAATTATGAGTAAAATATGAATACTATACTTGTAAGTTTAGGGGAGACAATCTGCTAAGGTACAGCAATATGGACTAGATGGAAGATAAAAGGCAAATACATAATGCTATTTAAAAAAAAATGGATGTTGAGTAAATTCTCAAAGAATCCTTTCTTTGTGAATGCTCCCCCACTTTGTTGGTAGCAAGAAAAGGAATTACTGCAGCAGAACACTGAGGTTCTTGCCAGCTGCCATCAAGCCTACCAGCCTCCTTTGGAATAGCACAAAGCCACGGCTCTTTTTACCCCCACCCCACCTCTGGCAGAACCACCAGACTTGCCCTAAGTGACCCCACAACCTCCTTAGTAGCCTCTCTGTTTCTATCCCAGCTCCTCCCTCCAGCTACTCCACAAAGCCATTGAAGGGACCTAAAGTGCGGTCACCCGCAAGTCACTTACTTGCCCACGCCTTTCTACTGTGTTCCCTCCGAGCAGAATCCGAAAGCTCTACAGATCTACCTGGCTCTTGACTATCTCCCCAACCACTGCCCGACCTCTGTTCCTTCAACACAGGAGTCTCGAGATTCCCCCACAACATTTCCCCACTTCTTCCCCTGCCTGGAATACGTGCCTCCCCACGGCTCTGTGACTGCTTCTTGTCATTAAGGCAACTGCTACTCGCCCAGAGAAGCCTTCCCTAACCATCCTATGTAAAATGGCATTTCCTCTGCATTTTACTTATCTATATTTATCATTCTAGCATGGCTTAATGGTAAAAATGCTATTTTCTACTAACTTCAGAAGAAAAACCCTAATAAAGATTCAGATATGTTATTAACCACTGTATTCTCTCTGCATTGTGATTGGTGGCGAACTCACAGTGAGATTAATAAATATCTACTGAATTAAGAATTAAATCCTGAAGAACATGAGCCATTTTTAATTGGTTTCTGCATGTACTTACTAGCACGCCATTAAAAACTTCACTAAAAATGAAAGGCAAAATTAAGGAAAAACTTGCAGAAGGAAGTGAGAAAATAAATAAGGCTAAAAACAGAATAGCAAAGAAAAACTCACATATAATCATAACCATGATTACCATCATGATCATCATGATCATCATCATGATCATGATCATCATCCTCTCCCAGCTAGAACTACCCAAGGCCATCTTACTTGCCTTGGGAGTTCAACTCATATTTATTGGATGACTTAAGTGAATTATCTCTCATGTTGAATAGTCTATAAGTACTACCATTTCTTATCTTATCTATACTCGTTTACTTGTGACAAGCATGATCTCAACTTAATATTATATTTCACATATCCATTAGATTGCTAAACTCACATATTTTTGTTTTACTCATGCTATCTATGTAAAGGTTTCCTTAAATATGTTCTTTTTATAATATTTACATATGGTATATGTGTTTATTAAAACATCTGTGTATGGACACTTATTTATATGTGTATGTACAAGTCCCACAGCTCAAATGTGGAGGTCAGAGGACAGCTTACAGAAATTGGTTCTCTTCATCCGTCATGTGGATCCTGGGAAATGAACCAGAGTAATCAAGCTTGACTGCAAGAGCTACTATCCATTGAACTATCTTACTAACTCTAAAGATTTCTTTTATATAAGCCTCAAGAAGAAACACAAGTTCCTGGTCTCATAAAGATGTAACATGAAACATGTTACATGTTTCATCATAAAGATTTTCATCATAACATGTTACATCATAAAGATGTAAAATGAAAAGAAAACCAATCCCAGGAGATGTGTTCCTCCCTCCTCCACCCCTTGTCCTGCTGCCAATCAGCTGTCAACCTCATGCAAATTTCTCCAGGTCTCAATTTTCTTATATGCTAAAGTAAGAGACTTAGATTTGTCTTTAGTGTTGGACTTATTTCTACCACTCTAATTAAAAAACAAGCAACGATCAAATATATTAAGCTTCCATGTAACTGAGGAGATCTGCACCGTAGGTACTACACAAATTAAAATTTATGATTTTTAACTTTTTTATATATTTTACTTTCTGTGTATTGGTGTTTTGCCTGCACGACTGTGTGCAGGCGTCAGAAGCCCGAACTGAAGCTACAGACAGGCGTAAGCTGCCATGCAGATGCTGGGAATCAAACCCAGATCACCTGGAAGTGCAGCAGTGCTCTCTGCTGAGCCCTCTCCCCAGCCCCTAGTTTCTCTATATATTTTAAAATGTACATTCCTTCGAGAGCATGTTTCCTTTGGAACTGAACTTAATCTTATAGACCATTTATATTACTATTTTTATTATTTGCTCTGTAGTAACATGTAACTAAATACATGTAAATTTTATAAGAAGATACGTGTTTTTACAAAAAAAGAAAGAAAAAAGAGGGCTGGCTGAGCGCATGTGTGTAACGTGTAGACAGAAAAGGCTGGCTTAGTAGTAGAGAGCAATTACAAGTACGGCAGTAGACGTGTTTCCTGAAGTGACATCCTCTCATAGTTATGAGACTGCTGTGAAGCTTTGACATGTTATGTGAAACAAGAACTTAACTAACTTTCCATGATGCCAAGGTTCCGAGGGACAGGGCAGCTCTGGCGTCTCCTACCATTTTCTAGAAGCCACAGAAGAACAACTTAGAGAGCAAAGCCCTCTTGCTTGTGATAGTGCTTATACCACAAAAATATACAAATAAAATGCTAATCAGACCAGGCTTGCTATGGAAAAGTATACCAAATTCTCTACTTGCAATGAGACTGGAAATCCCAATTATTTCCTTAGAAACAAGCCTCAGAGAATGCCTGCTAATAAAAAAATAACTTTTCCTAGGCACTGAAATAATTATAGGTGAAAGTGTTCTGATGGTAGTATCACCATAGCTGTGTGATAGTTCTAGGAGGCCACCCAGACCACCAACCCCAGGGCTAACATGTGGCAAAATCAGAAACTAACAGCAGTTTTTCTGTCACCAACACCACTCCCCTTGAGAAGAAGAATACAGTTTAGAAGTGAGCTCCCCACAGCCACAGGCCTCAAGACAGAATGGACTGCATGCTGCTATACTCGCCATGGCAGAGAAATTTAGTTATGCATTTCATTTAATTATATCATTCCCTCCATTAAATTTTCAACATTTTCTTAAGCCCTGGGCATATGAAACTGCCTATGGGCTAGCAAACAGCAAATTATTTTGAAATTTCAGTCATAGTGATCTTACTATGTGCAGGTATACTCAAGCCCAAGACGTTGTCTTTTACATACATGTTTTCACTTGACAAGCTCGTGGCCAGAGACCTGAGTCAACTGAATTTGTTAGCATTTACAGTTACATCTCGAAACAGCCTCTACAATGCAGAGGCAGCAGAGTGGCGGCCTCTGAACTTCACAAGACTCTCAGAGGTCCACTCAGAGGTGCAATGTGAGTGCCAATGAAAAGGGACCTACAGATGCTAAGGCCTCAACTCACTGAGATTCCCAAAGATTATTTTTCAGGCAAGCACGTCAGGGAAGGTGGGACATACAGAAGGCAAGTCTCTGCCGCCAGCTTTGAGGGTTAGGCCACTTGACAAGGAGCAGTGGGTGGCCCTCAGAAACTGAAAGCAACTAGACCTATGCACAGAGTGGCAGAGAAACAAGACCTCAGCAATAGAACACAAAAAATTGAACTCTGCCAGGAACACATGAGGCTCAAAGGGGACTCCAGATTCCAAACGAGAAGCAGCCCAGCCAGCACCTTGATTTCAGCCTCTAGTACAGTGAGCAGAAGAAAACCCAGTCAGCCCAGTTGAACGTCAGTTGTACAGAACTGAATGTCTACAAAACAGGTGTCCTGTGAAGCCACTGAGCCTGTGGCACCTTGTTGTGTAATCACAGAATGCATTCAGCACTGCCCCAACTGCCACACCCATTTTCCTCCCTCAGTCCCACCTAGAAGACCCATGCGCCACGATTCATTAATCGCCAATACCATTGTTTGTCAGCAGTGAAGTAGATGGCCTCCTCCTCCTCCTCGTTCCGATACAGAGCAGGGCAACTCGAGACAGACAGAATGTCTGGATCTGGGGAGGGCAATGAGTGCTGGGGGTGCTGGGGGTGGTGAGGATGCCGAGGGTGGGCTGCCAGAGGAGCATGTGGAGGGAGCTGAGCTCGCTGGGACTGTGGGGAGGACGGCACGATGCTGCGACGAGAGCGGCATAAACTGCTGCTTCTGGCTAAAGATCCAGCAGGCTTGGCCACGGTCCCTGAAAAATAGAACCCAGTGAAAACACTCGTAACCACCTATGTCCCTTAAATGTCTTCCTGGAAATGTGTACTCAAGAACTGATGTAAAATATCAGGTTTAATGTTTATTCAAGCAACAATATTAACAACTGCCATTCTCTACCACCAATGGGAAAATTAAACAGCAATTAACACAAATGTACTAAAAATGGTAACAGAGGTAGAACTAAAATAAATGAATATAAATGAAGTTTTACTGTAAACATCTAACACTATTGAAAACAAAGACTTAAAACTTTACTCTAAATAACCTTTACATTTAAAGTCAATATAGCACACTTGTAAGGAATGATACTGTTTATTTACACTCATACTGAAGCAGTAGAAAAAAACCACTAAAGTATCAATGGATAGTCTTAGACATATCACAACTTGTTTGATCTTTAAGATTTAAATAAAGACTGTACAAAGTCTCTCAGCTGAAACCAAAGCTTGCTTCCAGAACACAAGTCCTTGTGAACTCAGCCTGTCTTAGGCCCCCTGTGTCTACTGCAAGTCTCAAGCTAGAGCCATGAACGTAGAACAACAGACTCATCCGCAGTGTCTTCCTGCAGTAAAGCAGCCTAAGAACGCCCTTCTCAACCTAGCTCCTCATGCATGCTGCACTCCTCTTGTGCCCTCTACGAAACGCGGCCCTTCTGGAGCTCACGCCACGAGACAACACAGAGCCCCAGACTGCATGCCAGTGCTATCCCCCCAGTAGTCGCTCTTGCTCTAGGAGCCATCCACTCATCACCACAAACAGTGTCTTGTCTCACCACTCATGCTATGATGAGACCACCGAACAACAAGAAATAAAACAACTCTCCTAGTAATCAGAAATCATAAATTGCCTAAACAGAAACTCTAACAATTTGACTGAGGTCAAACTTCTCACCAGCAACTTCAAAACACTTTGGAAAATATACAGAATCAAATCTACATCTGTTATTTAGTTAAGCTATTATTTTCCAGCAAAAGTGAAAATAAAGTCACTTTCTGCCAGATAGATTTTTCACTTCTAATTTGCTTAATAAAACATTAATTAGTAACATATTTTCAAGAAAGAACAAAAAGGAGAAAAGAAAAATGGAACAGTATACCTAAATAATGATAAACAGTATACCTAAATGATGATTTAAATTGTAATAAAATGATGGTTATAAGTGACAGTCTACCCATCAGAAAGCACCAGACAATACTAATACACAAATGAAGAGTTTTTAAAATTCAAGTTATATGAAGCCCCTAATTGTTAATAATGAGAGAGAAGGGACAAAGGAAAAGGAAAAGAGAATGGAAAAAAAAAAAAACATAATTAAGAGTGATGGTATAAAACAGACCAAGCAGCAGTTTAAATTTCTGCATTCAATACGCCCAGAACATAAAGGAAGGAAGTTTAGGAATGATGTGGTATTATTTCATACTCACTTGGGTTGCAGAACCAATCAATCACATCATACCCAGTATGAGTGAGGCTACAGAAGCACAACTCTTAAAACAGTGGATGCAAGTGAACAAAACCCTACTGAAGGCAGTTTGGCAATGACTACTAGGAGATACTTTCCCAATGATCAAAAGCCATTTCAAAGGGTCCCGAGAAACTGTGAGCTGTGCATATTACATACCATAAGGATGTGTGTTTTCACTATTTTTTTTAAAAGGAAATACACAAGGAATCTCAGCAGGAAAAGGGAGACATCACGTTAATAACTATAATAAACAAGGTAGAGTTGACTCGTGTTAAACAATCAAAGTAAATTTAACTATGTTTAAACACAGAAAAACTTTGAAGCACATTTTAGAGCAAAGAAGTTTCAAAGTGATACCTATAGTTTGACGATATTTATGTAGATGTTGTCAGTATGCAGCGATGGTATATAGTGCCATGAATGGTATATGTGAAACCAAAGAATACTTCAGTAGGTGTTAGAATAACAGCTTCAGAAGAGGGAAAGAGAGATGGTGTGGTCCATTTCAGAAAACCAATACAACTTGTTTACTTTTGTGTTGGGTAGGCATCATTTTCAGTGACTTTAAGGACATACAAAGGGCTTTATAAGAAGTCCAAAGCACATTACTGCCACACCGCACTCTGAAAACATATAGCAGAGGCTTACAAACTGGAGAAGGAGAAATTCTATCCTCCGTTCTTCTCACAACAAATATTTCAATTAACACTTTCTGGGTTTTCTTCATGTAAAATTACAGTCTTATAATATATACTAGAATCTTTTGCTTTCTTTACATACAAAAAGCATGCTTCCTGGCAATTATTTCAAGCACAACTACCACATAACATAGACCACCAAGGAGGCATTTAAATGAAGCGCATTCATCCTAGCATGCACTTTATTCTTACACCTAACAGCCCTTGTTTTATAAGACTTAGAACCTAGGCTCTTGTAAGAAGGCACAATGGATGCTTTTTGCTTCTAAAATGCCAGTTAGGCCAGGTGGTGGTGGTGCACTCCTTTAATCCCAGCACTCTGGAGGCAGAAGCAGGAGGACCTCTGAGTTCAGGGCTAGCCTGGTCTACAGAGTGAGTTTCAGGATAGCCTGATCTACACGGAGAAGCCCTGTCTTGCAAAACAAACAAACAAAACAAAACAAAAATATTTTAACCAAGTCAAAAACATTGGCATAAAAGAATGTCCAACATTTGACCTGAGCTTCAAGATGTCTAGAGTATGTGATGAAAATAATAAAAAGGATATGATGTAAAAAGAGGCAGACAGGCTGGTAGGAAAAGCATGCTTTGGGACATTGAAGAACTCTGTCTGAATCCCAGTTTGGGCTCTATTCTGTAACCTTGAGCAACTTTTCCTGTTTCTCTGATCTGTAGCTTCCTGCATTATAAAATAAAAGTATTAATGTTTAAAAAAAAAAAAAAAAGCACAATGGAGTACCACTAGGTGGCCACTAGGTGGCGGCACAGCTCTCCAATCCTATGAGCAATCAGATTAATTTCTAAAGCTTCCTATTAAATTTCAAATTAACTTATACTTTTTCATATTTACAAGTATAAATGTCTTTGTATAAATACCACAATTATTCAAAACATATGCCAATTATACACATTCAGTATAATTATTTTCTTTTAATAGAAAAAAAAAAGTTTTGCTACCTCCAAACTACCAAAAGTGCTTCTAAAACAGACAAGGAAAAGAAGTTAATTGAGAGAATGGATCCTCCTCACATACAATTCTGATCCGTAACAAGTAGATATTTTAAATAAAAATTATTTTTAAAACACCTATTTTTCAAAAAAAGATGTATGCATTTGTCAATCAGTGTTACATAAGGGCACATATACAAACAATAGAATAGACAAATTCAAATTGCAAGCCAGCGTGAAAATTGACGTAGCTACAACTATTAACACCTGAACAAGGCGGAGAAGGTGTTCCCCAAATTTACAAGTTGTTCCTCTAACTGGAAGAGTCACTGCCTCCTCACTACACCATAAGCAGACTTAAAGCCAGGAAATAGCAAAAGCACACTTAATTACCTGTCAGACTAAGAGCTTAATTTGATCACAACTTTCTTATTCAATCAGAAGTGCTCTAACAATCTCAGGAAAGATGCAACATTGAACAGAAAAGGTCAAACTGGAAAGTACTCAGATAAGATGACCTGATTGACTAAAAACCTTAAGGTTTCAGTCAACCAAGGACTAAATTAACACAGTTCTCCATTCTTTGGAGCTTCACTGTATTGACATTGCAAGAAGTCACAAATACTGGAAAAATGAACTAGGCAAAAGGCAATAAGAATAAAAATTTATTCAAATACTTTCTAATATTAAGAAACCCTACAAATTGAAAACATCTGTAATTGCAGAAAGCCAAAAGTTAAAGCATTCAAATTTTATCTTAGCAAAATGTTTTTTCATAAAGTAAAACCCTAAAGCATAGCATACAACTAAGCAATATTAATACACACAAAAAAGCTTCCTTTGGAAGAACTTACATTCTAGCAAAACAGCATGTTGGCAGACATGTATAATCCTAGTACTCAGAAAGCTCAGGTAAGAGGCCAGCCTGAGCTACACCACAAGCTTCATTTTAAAACAATTAGAATATTTTACTTATTATATAATGTACTATGTATACATATATACACATCACATCTAAATTTTCATAAACAAGCACAGTTTAATTTTGCTAGAGGCAAACATATTCAGTACTTCATGAGTTACACAGAGCAGGGTAACAATATTAATAAAAGAATAAACTGAAAAGCAAAATAAAAATACTAAGAACAAGAAAGGAAAAAAAAAAGTCTTGGGAATGGAACAAGCCATAATCTGACTAGTGAATCAAGAGCTGATTACAGCAGAGCTAGCAACTAAACCAGTTTCCAAACAATTGCCTCCATCTTTCTTTCTACTGAAGTTTTCCCTCAGAGTTGAGCATGTCATTTATATAGCGATTGGCAGTCATAATGCTGTATCCATCCCTTTTCTTTGGGCCTCTCTCATTTTAATTTAATGAGAAGTAATGGTTTAAAAGCAAAATCCTACAATAGTTTCATAAAACAATTGCTAAAATGTGTGCTAAGTTATGTAAATTAAGTATTCATGCTTCTTGATTAGGTATATTTCTATGACAGAATATAAGATATACATAAAGAATGCATGTGTGAGAATATTTCATACAGTACTCTCAAAGAGCAAAAAAAAGTATTCGTCCCCAAAGATTTCAAAGCATATCACTCCTTAAAAAGGCATGGCGGCAACGTGCCTTAAAACCTGAGCCAATACTCTGCTGAACTTACCTGGAAACTGTGAGACTATTGGGGGCGTGTCTTCATCTAAGTCATCAACTCCTCCAGCAATGGGGTAAGGTGGAATGGAGACTCTAGGCATCACCACCCAGCTGTGGTCAGAGTACAGAGAGGAGGTGAGACTGGGCAGCCCAGAGTTGTGAGCTATCTGAAAGCCACAGATCTTCTCAATCTGCTGCCAACGAAAAAGTCGTTCTCGCAAACATGTCGTCAGTTCAGAGAGTGCTTTCCTGAAAAGCCAACAGAGGAATTAATTATCACCTTGAAGTTTTTAATATGATATTAAAATATCATTTCAATATGACAGGAAGAGACCATGGAAACTGAAATTATCCAGTTTCAGAATTAATATAAAGTATGTCATGATACATGCTGCACTGATTAAATACACATTATCTATATGGTACACAGCTGAACACAGACAGACAGACTAGTAAAATGGCATTCTTACTTGGCTTCCAGAATCTTGTGGTCTACTTCATCCAAGGAGGAGCTATGTGCAACATGCAGGGTCCCAAAGACTGTGCTTCTCTTCTTTTTAATTTTTTCTGCCTGAAAACCCAAAAGGTAAAAATAAAGTTAGGTTTAGGAAAATGATTACTTATATTACTAATAAAGCTGATCCTGATGTTGACTGTATTAATCATCACAAAACCAGTAGAAAATTATTAGCTAAGATAAAGACTTGTCTTCAAAAAAAAAAAAAAAAAAAAAAAAAAAAAAACGGTGAGAAAAAAAGCATGCTTTCCTGAGTCAAAGATATTTAAAGCTTTGTTCTAGAGAAGTGTTTCTCTTATTTCTATAGCTGAGAAAGAACAGATTCTTCTATTAAAACAACATTAACCAAATCGTACTGCAATGAGGTGTTAGTGAGTCAATTATGCATTTTTCTGGAATTCAGATTAAGGCTTACTCTTATTCCACACAATTTAATTTAATAAACAGCAAACATGAATTTCTGGTAACTACTAACCTGCATCAGATATGAGGCAGCAACCTGAAGGAGAAAAGCTCTGTATAAAATGTTTACAATGGTGATAATAAAGACAATTTGTCTAGGACACTAAGTAATTTTGAAAGTTATATATGTATTTCTCTAGAAAAAGTAATTTTACCTAAAATTCAATAATTTCAAGAGTCAATTTACGTGACACTCTAATTTTAAAAACAGAATCACGAAGGGATTTTACTGAGGTCTTAGTATTCTGAGTGATGACTCATGAAACAAGAGGATACCTCATCCTTAGCAATGGCTAGCTGCATCTCGGCGTTCTGTCTCTTAATATTGTAGTACTGTACTTCAACTTCATGTGTTAGCTGAAGCCATTTCTGCAGCGCATCAGGAACAGACCAGCTGCTTCTCAGTTCAAACTCCTTTTCAGCCTTTTTTAGAGCCATGCGGACCTGGGAAGATGAAAGACAGAAAACACAAAGGAAGATAAAATTGAAATAAATGTTGGTAGGAAAATGAAAAATAATTCAATTATACATTTTACAAAAACCTTTTAAAGTCACTAAGTCTAAAGGTTCTTCTTTTATCAAAACTAGGGCTGACTTTAAGTGCATCCTCAATTTCCTAAGCCAAGCTGAACGTCACAGGTCAGAGAAGGAGTACACGTGCCCACACACATATAAAAAGTGGAAGTACTTACTTTTTGTAACTTATAGTTGTCAAGCTAAGACAAATCAGGCACAGAAGAAAAAAATTACAGAAAACATACAAATTACTGATCCCACTTTCTCACAATGCCTGTTTTTGGTCACCTGGGATTTGAAGCAATGCCTAAATAAAACTGAGTGGCCTTTCTAGTTCTCATTTCCATATGCCCTCTCTGTTATTTCTCGTGCTTCTCTTACTACAGTGTGTTCCCCCATCTACCTCATCCACTGCTTCTGATACAACAGACAGCAAGAAATTCAGTTCTGGACAAGAATATATTTGCTACTCCCCATGAGAAACTATGCACTGCCTTTCCTGTAAGGATGAAGTATTTCTCCCACATTTAAGGGGGGTAGCCAACTAAACAACCACAAACTTAAGATATCTGATGTGCTCCGTGTAATAAAAGCTAAGGAATAAAATAGCAAAAGAAAGGCCTCACTCAGAAAACGACGAAGCAGGAACAGACAGCACTTTCTTGGGATCTAGACAGGGTGGTGGGACTGACGTGCAGACTTGTAACATTCCACGGAGCCCCAGCACACTGCGGAGCACACTGACTCTGGCACCCAACCCGTACCTGCACAGTACTTTGCTCACTAAGGTAACCGAACCAAACTGCAGAGGAATGTTTGATCTGAACAAACCCAACTTGTTTAAATAAACTTTTCTGTTTGCCAGAGTAAACCAAGAAGAGGACTACACAAAGTTTTGATAAAGAAATAGAACAGCTGTTGGGCAGTGTGGAAAAATATTTTAAAACTCCAAAATTAAAAAAAGAAATCACAACAGGACACAGAGTCCATAAATCAAAAAAAGTTTTTTTAAACAGTTGGAACTTGGGACTTTTAAATATGGCGTTTTCAGTGGAAGCAACCTCTAAGGCAACACCCGCCTGGTGTGATTCACTGTGTAATGTACACGGGACAACACGACTTTAGTAAGACAGTTGGCTAAGCTGTGTGGCGTCCCTGCTAATCTCTCAGGAAGAAAGAACTTGAGAGCAGGCCCTGTGACATGCAGTCCTACAGAACACCACAAGCAAGCCTTTTTCTCTCACAAGACTTGGAAACTAAACATTCAGTAATTTAAATGTCCAGGGTACTAAACACGGGATCTGAACATATCTCACTCATGTCATTCTCTATAATCGGAAAGATTTTCATAAATTTAATTATCTTAAAATAGTTCAATTGTTTTGCACAGAAACCCTGTATTTGGGGCATAGTTTGAGGCTGAGCAATGCTTAAATTAACGGTCAAATGTCCCAAACCTGTGAAGTTTATGACCATCCCATATTAACTGTTTAACAGCTATTATTCATAACTTTGTTATCTGATCAAAATCTTAACCTGCAGTTTGAGTTATGTTGTTATCCATGAGAATGGTCAAAGTCAAATTAGTTAACATCATTTTGAAGTTATCTCAACTCGGTGGAAAATATGTTTTAAACTATTTGGAATTATAGGATACTGTATGGAAATACATAAATTAATTTTCCAGTTTCATTACCTCAGTAAAGGAAGTTTTGAACAGTAGGGAAAAACACAGATTTGGAATAAAACACACAAAATCCTGCCTTTGTTGCATAACAGTTGTGTGAGGCACGGCAGCAGTGACTTAACGTCACTACTCATCTACAACCCTCTCTATGTAACACAGGGGTTGGTGCTCAGAGCAAGCCATGGACAGTAGAAGCAGGGGTCTTTGCGCTCACTCATAAGATCGTGATCCTTATGAATACAGTCATGCTGGGCCACTACAAGACCCCCTGTTCTCCTTTAAGCCATCTTTGATTGACTCAGGATGACATGAGGATTATGTTTATACAGGCACAACTGGTACCCACTGCAGTGACCTTAGAGTCTACAAAGGCATGCAAAGTTCTCTGTGCCAAAACCAGAGATAAAATGTGAGGCAGTCACTTGTCAAACACTGTTATTAAGAAAGTGATGTTCACTTGGCTAAGGAGAGACTTTTTTAGTTGCCACAAAAGAAAGAACCTTTATAGAATCTAACCAAACTTATTGGGCCATCAAAATAAACAAGTAAAAGGACATGAAAGCAGAAGAAATACATGGGAAGAGTGATTGGCAGGATCAGGAGAGGAACAGAAGAGGTTAATTAGAAAGACATGTGACAAAACACATTATGTATGTTTGAGAATGCCATAATAAAACCTACTGTTGAGGGTAGTTAACATATGCTAATAAAGACAAAGGTATTGATTACTTCCTACTCATAGGCAAAGTTAGATAATTAGCTAAGAAGCTTTTCCTAGTCTGGTAACCAGCCAGAAATCAGATGGAGTGTTCTAAGGGGCATACCCAGTTCTTGGACACCATATACCTTCAGCTAGGCCTTTTCTGGCAACTTCTTGACTCTCCTATATTCTGTACAGAAAAGGTTTGCCAGGAAGCTGGGCATAACTACAAAATATGTCTAAGGGTCAATTTTAATAGTTTTTAAAAAATGTTTCAGTAAATTTTATTACATAAAAAATCCTGCAAATAGATAAAAACATCAAAAGTAACGAGACCTAAATTTAATGAACTGAAGTCAAAGGGAAAAGAATTAAGATGGTTTTTCAAGAGAGATGTGTGGTCAATGGCAACAAAGGAGAGTCCAAAATTCAGTCAGACAAATTCTCCAAAAGAACGCCTTAGAAGAAAACAGTGGTGCTCAATAATTGTGCTTAGAGCCACAGATGCAATAAAACCTTATCAAATAATTCTGAATCTTGTACTTAACAATCAATTTAGAGGCCTCAGTGCACCAACAGTACACAAAGTGCGAGGCCTGTCCCTGCTTTACAACTAACTAATTCTGAACAAGTCTCCCAATCCTCATTTTGTTTCTCGGTTTCTCAGTGAATAAATGGCCAAGTCAGAAAAATGAGATGGCATCACAGACACACAGGTTCACAGAATATGTCTGAAGATAAAGGAAGGCCCCTAAGATAAGAAACACAGGCAGCTTCTAGAATGGGAAAAGAAAGGTAGCACCTCCCACATAGGCTCCAGTGGGGTAAGGGCCCTGCAGACACATTTCAGAGTGATAATGAATCTACATTTATATGCCGCCCAGCTTGTAGTAATCTGTCTCTGCAGGAATAGGAAATTGATATACACGCATGCCACTGAAACTCTGCCACAATTCTCCCGTCTCGAAGGCACTGTGAAACGTCTGAAAGCCTACTCCATCTTATTTTGAGTACCTGAGTGGAGGAAGCAGACATCAAAAGGACATCTTTGCAGATAACTCTGAAGATTTTAGCAGGTTGTTCTAAAACCATCTAACAGGTTTCAAAGAGACAACTAGTAGAAATCCTCAATATCTGCAGCCTTTAACTTTACAGAAGATCAAAACTGGATGTCCTTTCTCTTACGAGGTGACGTTAGGGACTCAAAGAGTAGAGATCTAAATAAACACCTCAAGTGTACTTAAGGCAATGAACCTACCATGAACTAATGCTGCATGGAAGAAGCATGATGGCAACTTCATCTTTCAATTACATTTTGATCTTTTTGAAATATGAATTTGATCAATGCTAAATAATTATTTTATTAGCTGAGGAACATGAGTATACATGAAAAAAATACAGATACAGAAGATGAAACAAATAAAGAAGAGGAAACGGAGGCCTGCTCCTTGGAGCAGCAGCAGAAACACTTCCTTAGGATAGTACCTGCTCCAGTTCCTGCTCTGCATACTGGCGCCGGCTCAGCTCACACTCGGCGCCTTCCCTCAGCTCCCTCAGCCGGCAGGCCTCCTCCTTGGCATAGTTGATTTCATCCATCATTTTTCGCTCTAGATTTTGCTTTTCTACAGCAACAGTTCTGTTTTCTTCTTGAGCCTTTTCAAGTCTTAGACAACAATAAATTAAAAAGAATTCCTTACACAAGTATCCAAACTTTCATTTTTATGAAAACAATATTGTTGCAAACAATGTCATACTTTTTAAAATCAGAATTTATAGTATTTCTATTAATCTTAAATTAGACTAAAGATGAGGCAACCTAATATTTGGCTATCTTTTGTTATCTTGGGCTCAAAAGACAAGGACTGAAGAAAACAGCCTCTGCAAAAAGACTTTGAAGAAGCATAAACATTTAAATCTATTTGAAAGTAAAACTCAACTACATTCTGCTTTCATCTGATTTACTTCCTCTGATCTACATATATTTCCAAGTTGTAATTCTCTGAATATACAGAGTGAAATGAACATGTATTCCTAATATGGATGGACCCTAATATAAAATAAGTGTTTACATATTCATGCATGTAACATTTCACAAGCCATATTTACTTATGTGAAGAACAAGAGTACTGGTTTTAGTAACTAATTTTGTTTTATTTTGGATTTTTGAGACAAGTTCTTATGTAGCACAAGCTGGGCCTGAGCACACTAGCTTTGACCCTATCCCCCTAAGTACCAGGATCCCCAGGATGAGCCACCATGCATGCCCAGGTGGAGTGATATGCTTTAGTTACCTCTCTTGTAAGTCCATGAGACTTTGCTCTGCAGTTTGTAGACTCTCTAAATCTTTCATCATTTTTGCAACATGTTCTTTTGATGTCTTGTTTTGTGTATAAGCAAACCAACAACCCCCAACACCAATTACTATGGAAATTGTGAGAATAAAATCCTTCATCCAGTTATGAGGTGGACCTATTAAAAAGAAAAAAAAACAAACAGTTTTTGAGTGTAACACAGTGTAAACATACAGAAAAGCAGATATCCGAAGCAAACCAAACTAAGTATCTCCTTCCCCAGATACGAATCCCCAGAGCTCTACAAGATCAGAGCTCCTCCACCCGTCAGTATGCCTATTTTCTCTACCTACTCTACGGGACCTACAGAGAGACAGGGAAAACACATATGACCATAGCAGGCTGCATCCCACACCCATGCTACTGAAAGAAGCCTCACAGACTAAAGGGAGCTCATGTCTTGCTTCTATTTCCTTCAGTCAGGCCAGGTCACTATCACTGAAACACAAGGTAGAGAACCGAACACTCACCAAAAAGCATGTCCCCATGCTTGTGGTTATGCAATAAATTATCCTCATCAGTGGTCCATAAAGATTGAGGCAATATACCCATCCCACCCCAGGCAGATAATATTTTATTAACACAAAACGTGGGTGAAGTTATTACTGGTACCTCCCTGAGTAGAGATTAAGAATACTCCTGAACACCCTACAACTGACAGGAAAGCCTCTTCCCCATACCCTGTACTAGTAACAAACATTATCAACTAGTCCATGGACACAGCTGAGAAACCTGGCTTCAACGACTGTGGGCATCCCCAACAAGGGGCAACTAGGGCTCAAGGCCTGGGGCAGCTTCTGCAAGAATTCTTAGCCTGACAATGGGGGGCCTGCCAGAGACCAACAACCAATGGCAGGCTTGGAGATGGTGTGGAGGAACCTGATTGGTTGCCCAAAGCTACATACCGAGCTCTCTCTTCCAGAATAAAGGAGTCTGCATCTGCATCGGAGTGCATTCACCTGACTCCCGCTGTCTGTGTAGTGACTCCTGCGCCTCTCACCACCTCAGCCTGGACTCCCTTGTCTTCACCCAAGGGCTGGACCCTTGGGAGGAGGACCAACAAACAGCCATAGCTAGCTAGTAATGTCAGTTAGGTGGCCACTTGTCTGAGATACAGGAGTTAGGAGGAGGGAATGTGCAGGGTCCTTTTCCCTAACCTACCAGGCTGTCAATTCAGCAATGCCGTGTAGGTCAGAAGGCACAAGAGCTACTGTCTTGAGGAACATGAAACATAAAAACCTTTACTCAAATATCATTTTAACTTTGTCCTGACTGTCAATATATACCCACTTTCCAGGGAAAATTAAAAGAGAGATGCATGATAGCTAATGAAATATAATGTATTTTAATACTCTAAGGAAATATAATTTATAGTGGTAAGTTGCCTTTTGTGGATTTTGTTTTATATCATCTTGATACAAGCTTAAGTGATCTGAAAGGAGGGAACTTCAATTGAGAAAATGCCTTCATAAGATGGGGGCTATATGTAAGTCTGTTGGGCATTTTCTTAATCAGTGATTAATGTGGGGCCACCCTTGGGCTGGTAATCCTGAGTTCTATTAAGAGAGCAAGATAAGCAAGCCAGGAGGAGCTAGGCAATAAATAACACTCCTCCGTCCGTGGCTTGTGTGTTAGCTCCTGCCTCGAGGTTCTCATTTTGAGTTCCTGTCCTGACTTCCTGAAAAGTGGTGTGCAAGTGTAAGCTGAATAAACCCTTTCCTCCCCAAGTTGCTTTGGTCATGGTGTTTCCTCACAGCAACAGTAACCCCAAGACACTGCCCAAATGCTTACTACTCCTGCCACAAGACATTCTGCATGCTTCCTGTGAATGAACTCTATAAAAATCTCAAGTTGCTAGGCTAGCAAGTCCAGGGTGCATCCATATTTGCTTCTATGGTAAAAAGTCACAGTGTTCCGTATTTCCAGAGCATACACCCTCACCAGCCATTCAAGACATGCACTACATGCAGCTACAGTCTCAAGGGGTTTGTTTAAATGTCTGCTTGTAACTGAGAGATTCAGCTCAGGCTTCACCCCACCATGAGCTCTACTATCTGACTACCTGGAACAATATGTGGACCAACCAGTCCCACATTCCATTAAGAACCATATACTAGAAGGAGGTAAGTGAAAACTCCATTAAAATGTATCTCATTTGACAACATTAGTTTTTGTATGAAATCTAGCTTGGGTACTACACTATGGTAGTTTTGCAATAATTTAAAAACAAACATATTTAAAAGGTAGTACATCATTAATGTCTTAGCTTGTTTGCTCATTAAAATGCATGTTTACAACACTTTCTGAGAACAACTTGACAGTACCACATTCTCTGCATTATGAAGCACCTTTCCCCAGAACACAACCAAATAGCACGTACACAAAACTCTCTACCTTAATTCCTGTTTTCACTAATCAGCTCCTGGGAAAAAGCAAAATTTCACACAGAACAATCACCTAGTGGATTCGGTCAAGAACTCAGGGCAAGTAGCAAAGTTCAGGGATCCTAGGCATTCTCAGAAGGCTCCACGTCCTCTCCTGTGATGCCCACCAGCTCACAAAGAGGAATTCTGACGTTTTAGCAGCTATTCACTTAGCTCCAGCCAAATCAGAATCATGCTCAAAGTCAGGTGACCACTGACCCATGCCCTCCAGCTTTCAATAGAAGAGTCCCACCTCAACATGTATCCCAGAGACACTCCAGTCCAGAGAGAATAACGTCAGTTTCCTAACCACTATTCTGTAAAAGCCATAGTTCCTGTATTAATTTTGTTATTCCTTTTAAGATTCTAAAACAATAAAAGATTCTTCTAAAATATATACTGTTCAAACACTTCCTCTGAAAGCTTTCCAAAATTTTAAATAAACATATTAAAGTTCTGGGAAAAAAGTATTCCTGTTCAGATTAAAAACTTTTAAATAAAAATATGATATAACAGGTTTTTTTTTCTTTCTTTCTTTCTTTTCTTGGGGGGCAGTGGTTTGGGGTTTTAGTTTTTTGTTTTTAAAGAGAGGGCTTCTTTATGTAGCCTTGGCTGTCCTGGCACTTGCTCTGTAGACCAGGCTGGCCTCGAACTAGCAGAGATCCACCTGTCCCTGCCTCCTGAATGCTGTAATTAAAGGTGTGCAGGTCACTGCTGCCTGGCGATGAAAGTTTCTTACCCTTTCCTTTCAAACCAGTCAAGTAACAGTATTCACTTGGTGTTCCTCCTAGAATAGTATCACTTTCTACAGCCTCTAGGGGATCTTTGTTTCTGATCTAGGTCTTAAAACTTCTTGCTAGTGACACTGTTAATCGTGCCATCAGAGCAGCTAAACAGCCATATTCTTAAGGGTCAGTGAGTAAACATCCAGCTGTAATAACATCAACAGTTACAATAACCCACGGTTTTTAATCTAGAAATTCCAATTATCACCTGGCCACAGTTTCACAGCTTTTTACATTAGTAACTAGTTTTTGAAAGTTCCTATTTCTGTGGCAGAAAAGCTAAGCCACATTTCCTTCACAGTTAGTGAGTGGCTCTTCTTGGTTGTGTGTTCCTCTCCATTTTGCTTTCTTCCACAACACGGGAATGGGGCAGAGTACACTACTGTATCACACTCATTGAGACAGATACTAACGTGTCAGAGGCCCAAACAAAACCACATCCAGTGCTTTGAGTTGAAGTTTCTGTCTGTGACTCCGGTCGCTGATTTTCAACTGGGAAATCATAAATGGAGTTTCATGAACTGCTATCCTGCATATAAAGAAGAAAGTTATATATAATAAACACAGTATTTCAAATATGTAAATTTCCATCCATGAGCAGCATATTTACTGCTTTACACACTGCTGATCTCCACTGAGAGCTCATCTGGATTACCTGCTTTATGCACACCAGAACCTGTCTTAGAACTTAGCAACTGAAAGCCTGCTAGAGGCTAATCATTGTGCTGCTTTATTGATGAGCTATTGTTTTTTGCTTTTTTTTTTTGGTTTTTCGAGACGGAGTTTCTCTGTGTAGCCTTGGCTGTCCTGAACTCTCTTTGTGGACCAGGCTGCCCTCAAACTCACAGAGATCCACCTGCCTCTGCCTCCCTGAGTGCTGGGATTAAAGGCATGTACCACCATGCCTGGCTGTTTTTTTTCTAAAGTTACTTTCTATTATAACTTACGATAATTGTGAAATTTATGAAACTGAAAGTATTTAATAATAATTAACTAATGTCAGCTTTTTACTGTCACTTCACAAAGAAAAGCAAAATTTCTAAGGGACTTAATAAACACTTTAGCAGATGTTAAAAACTGTTCTTATTTCAGGAGCTTTTATGGAGCAGCAGCTGAAAAGCAGTCACCAGCGCCTAGTGTTTGACTGTTAAAGATAAACAAAGTACACTGAAAGCCAAATGGAAAGTAAGCACCTTCTGGATAGGTTGAGGGTGGAGGGATTCATGGAATAGATAGTTCTTGGGCGAGTTAGGAGGTGGAGGCAAGAGATTCCTCAGAAGCTTGGGGCCACCTAAGCTGCTATGTGCAGAGACTAATAACAAAGAGGCCCTGCCTCAAGCAAAGGGAAGGCACAAACCACCACATAAAGTGGTCCTCTAACCTCCACACATGCTATGTCATGTCATCTGCATGCACCCACACTCACACCTCAAACACACATATGTATATATACATACTACACATGTAACATAAAAATATAATAAAAAGGATAAAATATTTAAAACAGATACATTTATAGCATTCCCTTTATACTATCAGCCCCAGAAGTATCTTGCAGATTCAGAATTGAAAAGTGGCATCTAAAATATACTTCTCAATGCACGAAATCCCCTCTGGGTAAACACTGACCTGGGGAGTGTTGTTCCCTTCACATTATTATCCCTAAAATTCTTCTCATATTGTGGGAGTTCAACAAATTCTATCAACCACTGCAGGGTATCCTCAAGCGTCCAATTATGAACTGTAAGGCAGAAAAGAAAGTACATTGTAAAGCACAGGGATTTCAAAATTAAAATATGAACTCATCTATGAAAGTTTAAAAGAAGTTTAAATTTTCAATTAAATTGAATAAACAGTAGTAAAATAGTATCTAGCACTCTATGGTAACCTTAAAAATAATGAGACCCACACTTGCTTTCTAAAAGGCACAGGATCAAAACAGAAAAAAGACATACAAGGAATACAAACAGCAGTAAGACTAATTCTAGGCATCAATACAGAGTTTTTAAATGTTGAAATAATACATTTCTCTCGGTGTAGACAACTTACCACATACAGACTTAACTGACACTTCACCCAGCCCATCAATGCATATCATACTGTGAAACACCCTGAGAGTCAGGTCCAGTCTGAGCACTGTGACATACAGTAGCGAGCAGATGAAGAAAACGTTTGCCCCTGTGAAACCTAAGTGCCTCTGGCAAGGATTCAGGTGGAGCAACTTAGAAATGAAGATGGGGGGGACAAGAAAAGTTTAAATCATGCTGGTCATTAAAGAAAGTGGGAGAAATGACAGATTGGCAAGGGTGGGGGAGGAAGGGTTGGGATAAGTCCTCTGACTTGACTATTATCAACTAAAACCTAAAATAAAATCACAGAATTCTGAAGAGCTCAGAGAAAACTATTCAACCAGAGAAGAAAGCTTTACATTAAAGTCTTCACAAATGCCGCTGGGTTTTGTTTTGTTTTGTTTTTTTGAGGATTAGGCAGAAAGTCAGAGAGAGATCACATTAGGAAAGACTGGGTTTGAACCCAGGCAAACTAACCACAGACTCTTACTCTACATACTTTGAAAGCAACAACGAAGAGCAAAGATTAAACCAGGAGAAAACCAGGAGAATTAAGGCACAGGCCTTTCTCTGCTTACAGAGGATAAAGGACAACAATGGGTTACCCCCCCAAGGGACGGCAAAAAACAGAGTTGCATATTGTATACACTTAATATGAGGATTTGGGAAAACAGTTTATAGCCCACACAAGGGGCAAAAGGGGCTGAAGATAACACGGAAGTGACAAATGCAGTGCTGGGAATCCATCTGTGCACAAACGGATGTAGGAAAAGAGCATTCTCAGAAATTATAGATAATTCTGAATTCACATTTGCATGCAATGTTTTTATGCAGTCTGCCTTCTTCAATACTCGATCTTTAAAAAAAACAACTTAAGCAAATCATAGTAAAAACCTTATTTAAAAACTGTATTGCTAAGTGGCAATTTTATACTGAGAGAAAAGTGTTTCTCATGTTCTCTTTTTGATACATGTCCATCATAATACCTATATATGGCCTGAGGCCGCTGGATCCACAGAGCCAAACAAATAAGGCTATCAGCCAGCAGCTCAGGCCTGGATGCATTCTGCTGAATCTAATCCAGTCAAAGTAGCCTTTTACACGGAGGCTTCTTCCTTCTGCAGTGAACTACATGGAGAGCTGCCCTGTCTGACTGCCAAGAAGCCCACAGCGCAGCTGCACGGCACACACCCACACAATACTCTCAGCCAGGAAAACAGGGTAAGATTCCCTCTGGCTTTTGATTTTTCAATAGTAAAGGACCCAATCTAAGCAATCCAGCATGCTCCAATTTCCAAGGAGACCAGATTCAAAGGGGAGGGGGGGAGGAATCAAATAAAAAGGGTCGGAAAATGCCCAGTCCTAATACTACTCTACCTGAGTAGACAAGTTGTGGTCTAAAGTAGCTCTGTTCGTAAAATTAATTTCTTAAAATGCATCTTTAAAACAATACAGTCTTAACACAAGAAATAATTACTTGAGAGAACTTACTTTTCCAGTTGCTATCTGGGTTCTTTGAAGATGCCTTGCAAACAGCTTTCCTTTTCTTCTCATGACCACGACTTGGGTTTTGTATTAGCCCCCTCTACTCCAAAGACACTACTGTCATTTTTCAGCCTTACAGAAGCTCATTTTCACCATTCCCCAAGGCCTACCATGAAACCTGTTTTACCCTATCATCTCCTATATTTTGTTGAATCTTCCTTTCTTATCTAATACTTCATCTCTTCATAAATCATTTTGGGCTTTTTTTTTTTCTCTCACAGAATTTGATTAATTACAATTATCTATAAGAAAGAGAATTCTTTCAATATCTGCTTATTCCACTAAATGAGGCATAAGTTCCTTACTGACCACACCATGCTGAACACTAATACACAAATTATTTGTTATGTGCTTAATAAATGATTAATAAATGAAGTAGATCAGACTTAAAAGATAAGTACTCTAAACCCTCTTTCTCTTTCAGTGAGGAAATTAACCAGGGCTTGCCTGCATACGAAACCCCCAGTGTCTAAGAGCTAGCTGCAGCTACCCCATCCCTTCTGCCCATCCCTAACTGAGCTTCTTCATGCTGCGCTGCTGGGCCACACCTACACCACAGGGCAGGCGGAAGACACAGCATTTTAAAAAATGTACTTAGCAATTTCATCAGTTTGGGATTGTTAAAGTATTTTGTTGAGATTGTCGCAAGTGCTATAGGTTGATGTCTCCGTGACTTTTAGCAACTAGCTCCAACACCAATAAAGAGAACTTTGGAAAGGAATGAGACCTGTGTCAGGTTGTGTTATACCACTGGGTCACCGTGCCGTCGCTGCTAGGCTCTTTAACTCAGGCTCAGTATTTAAACTTTCTGATTCCATTATAACAAAAGAGGGCTAGTGTCTAAAGCACTGTCAACTAAATAAGCAACTGAGAACATGTCATCACAGAATGCTAACAGGAAAAATTGAATTCTAAAAATGACCAGGACACCTATAATAACATTAACTATTTACTGCATACCAGACTTAAGAATGTTATTTCATGTGGACACTGTAGCAACTCTGAAGTGAGCAGTTTTATTCCCAGGAAGAATATAATTTTCCCAAGGTAGAACTCTTAATCAGGTATAAACAAATTAGTAAAAGGCCATAGCAGGTTTCACTGCAACAGCATAACCCATGGCCCTCAAGATCTACAGCTTTTTAAATGTGCCACATGCCTGTCTCCCCTGCTACTCTTCAACCCAGAATGGCTTTCCTTTCTTCCATTTGCCTGCCTTGTCCTTACTCTTTATGACTCACACTAAGAACTCCTTCCTCCAAACATCTTCACTATCACCCATTTCAATATTACTGCTTGTGTTCTTTCATGTGTTCTACACATGGATCTATCATGAAACTAACCAAGCACGCAGGTTATTGTCCTCAACCATTTTGCTCTGCAGATGAGGAGTGCTACAAGAACAAGAACTTACCCTTTAAAGGGGGGGAGGGGCGGAAAGCTGGCTCAGAGGTTAAAAGCGCTGGCTGGCTGCTCTTCCAAAGGTCCTAAGTTCAATTCCCAGCAACCACATGGTAGCTCACAACCATCTACATTGAGATCTGGTGCCCCCTTCCTGCCTGCAGGTGTACACGCATGCAGAACCCTGTATACATATTAAGTGAGTAAATGAATCTTTTTTTGAATGAAGAGTTTGCATTTATTCATTTGGGGTGTGTGTGTGTGCACATGTGCACATAAATGTATGTATGTGAGTGCGGGGGTAGGTGTGGAGGCAAAGGACAATTTTCAAGACTCCGTTATCTGCTTCCACTAGTGGCTTTCTGGAATCAAACTCAGACTTGGTTGCAATTCCCTTTACCTGCTGAGACATTTCAGTTATTTAACTTTTATTAAAATGCCACTCTTTTAATTAAGGGGTTTTTAATAATATACACTTCCACATCCATTTGCATATGTACCCTGTAACTACAGTTAAATGCAGCTGTTATCTCTAGAGTCTATAAGGAGGCAGCTGGCCAAGCAATTACACATACGGTCATGGTTACACCTGTCTATCAATCAATGAACCATGGTCCACGTCCATTGTACTCTATGTGGCTTTCGATACTAAATAGCTCACTAACATCTGAAATACTTTCTCTTAAAACTTTAGTGCTAATAGCATACAAATGTAAAATGTTACCAACAAGTAATCTACTACAAGTAGTTGCCTAAAATGGACTTGTGGCTCTCCTAGAGATATCAGGTATACACGGGGCTACTAAAGTTGAGGTGGTAATACAAAAGCTCAGTAGAGTTTATGCAAGTTTTTCATGAAAAAAGACATGCTTGTAAGTAGGAAGATACACTCTAACAACCTGAAGATAATATTTCAAAAAGCATGGATAGATAGACAGACAGATACAGTCTCTGTCCAAGAACTTGCATTGTAGAGCAGGCTGGCCTCAGAGATCCACTTGCCTCTGCCTCTAGAGTACTAGGATTAAGGGCATGTGCTACTACATCGGTGAGGACTCTGGAGAGTAGGGTGACAGGAGAAAGAATGGTGAGTAGAACCAGAACTCCAAGAAAGGCAGAGCTCTGGACTCCAAAAGAGGCAGAGCTCTGGTACTGGATGTAGATGGACAGACATCTGGAGATTTAAAAAACAAAACAACTCTTTTTTGCTAACAGGGCAATTTCTGTAACAGTAAATGTAGCTGCTCACTTTGAAGTAAGAAAAAAAAAGTGTTGTATCCATCCCCTCCTACTCTACTTGCCAGCCCTACCACAATGTAGCTATTTTGGAACAGCACACATGAAAAAGAGGAAAACTGGGCCTCAGAAGAGAAAGCATTTTAAAAGCAATAGGGTGTGAGAAATGAGCATTAAGAGATAGGAAGGGGTGGATATAGCCATCAACAGAGGGGCCACCAAGAATACATGAGGCGAGCATAGTGACACAACCAGGCATACACCTAAGCTAGAACTGGATGAAATGCTCTTGGCAGTGATCTCTGCCCCTCAATTCTTATGGTATTTAATGACTGCTTCTACAAAATGGCACAGCATCCGAGCTATCTTATTTTGCTAACTTCCTGCTAACATTTCATGCCCTACTATAATGTAAGCTTCCATACCACACAAAATACTATTATATTCCAACACAAATTACCATTTAAGTATTCAATGAAGATGTAAAAAT